GCTCCCCACTCTGTCTCTGGTGAAACCTCTCACCCCCACACCTCTGGCCTGTACCCCAGTTCTGTGTGCATAAATAAATAAATCTTTAAAAACATATATTATAAATTTAAAAAGTAGCACCATCAGCCTCCCACCCACCTACTCGTCCCGCCATCTGCTGCCCATCCATCCGTCCACTACCCACCTCCCTGTCCCTCCACTCATCTCTCCGCCCGCCTAGCCACCCTCCTGTCCCTCCAACCTTCCTGCACCCACCTCTCCTCCCACCCAACGAGCAAGAGTGAGGACGGACAAACTGGTCGTTTGGAAACTCCAAGCATGAGTCATCCCCTCAACAGGCCTGTGACTTGCTGAGGAGAGAACCCTGGGCCCATCTTCTGAACCAGGGTGCCAAGGTCCCTCCCCTGCCTGGGCTGCCGCCGCACCTTCTCAAAACGGGCCTGGATGAGGTTGGCCTTGTCAATCAGCCGCTGCTTGAAGTCACTGAGGCACTCGTCTTTGAGCCGGATGGCCTGCCAGCGCGTCAGCTTCTCTGTCGGAGGCAGCTGTGCCAGGAACGGGGCCAGGTAGTCCAGCTGCGCCTCCACCTGCCGCAGGTGCTCCTCGTGCATCACACGCTCCTGTGGGGGTCGGGGCTCAGCTGGGCCAGGGGCTGCGGACACCCTGCCAGCTCTGTGGCCACCCCACCCCCAAGCCAGGCCTCCGCTCCTCCAGGCCTGGGGCCTCAGAGCGGGCCTGTGGGTGCTCATTACCTCCTTAACCTGCGGTTATTGGTAGCAGTGTGTCTTATATGAATTCTCCAAATCTCAGCATATATATATATATATATTTATCTCAGCATAAATATATATATTTGACAAATGCTTGCTTCATAAATGGTGGTTATTAATGAGGCCTGGTCAGACACTGCCAGTAACTCTCTTCCTCTCACCCTGGGAACTTACTGTTTTGTACTGGCCGACAGGCCAGTGAAGTTGGACATGTGGGGGCTGATGCCCTTCCCTGGGAGTCTGAGAGCCAATTACCCAATGCCTTGGCCTGCCCGCCCACCCCAAAACTTGGGTGATGGGGATTCAGAAGTGGCCTAGAATACTAAGTGGGTCTTGCATCCTGAGGTGTTACCTAACTGCTCTGGGCTTCGGGGTCTGAAGAACTTGGGCCAGAGTCAATTCACCTGGGCTATGGGCCCGGTCCAGGCTGAGGAGGTGGGATGGGGAGACCTGGCCTAGGTCCTGAATGCTTTTGGGGGTGATCCATAAACACAGGCTCCTCAGTAGCCAGGATGCTCCCTGTGGTGTCTGTAAGTGCACCCCCTGCGAACGGTTTCAGGCAGAATCCCTGAGCCATGCTCATCACCCCAGAGGCCCCGGCGAGGAGTGGTCCAGGAGGAGCCAGGCCCGGCCAGGGCGCCGGCTCACCATGGCCTCCCGATACTCTTTGCTCTTCTCGTTGCGCTTGGTGTCGTAGATGGAGATGGCCAGCGTGTGCGCCTCCTCCTCCTCCTCCCGCAGCTTCAGGATCTCGAGCACCTGGGTTGGCAGTTGGCAGGACAGGGTTGGCAAGACACCCTCTGCCCATCTGCTTCCCGCCTGCCCACCTTCCCTGGGGACCCCACCTCCAGCTCTGACTCCCAGGCCTGATGTCTGGACAGCTTCTCCTCGTTCTTCAGCCGCATCATGGCCTCGTACTGGTACAGGAGCTTCTTGGTGTGCTCCATGGGCTCTACCTGCAATGACAAGCACAGCGAGCAGAGAGGCGGCAGGCTCTGGAGTCTCTGGGCTCGAGTCTCCCCCTGCCACTTTCTAGCTGTGAGCTCTCAAGGAAGTCGCAGGCCTCATTTGCCTTATCTAAAAAAACAATAATAATAGAAGAGGGGGCCCTCCCTGGTGGCGCAACAGGTTAAAGGGCAGCCCTACGAAGCTAGCTGGAACAGTACAAGTTCGATCCCCGGCCCCGGAGCTGACCCACATGGCGCGGCAGACCTCTCCTGTTGCACCCGCTGCTCCCCTCAGCAGTGGATTTCAGTGGATCCACCTGTTCTGCTCCCCACTCTGTCTCTGGAGAATCCTCTCACCCCTGGTCTCTGGCCTGTACCCCAGTTTTGTATGCATAAATAACAAAATCTTTTTTTTTTTTTTTTAAATTTTTTTTTTTTTAAGATTTATTTATTTGTGTATACAGAACTGGGATACAGGCTAGAGGCTCAGGGGCGGTGAGAGGCTTCACAAGAGACAGAGTGGGGAGCAGAACAGGCAGATCTACGAAGTACACTGCTGAGGGGAGCAGTGGGCGGGTCAGGAGAGGTCTGCCACGCCATGTGGTCTCCTCCAGGGCAGGCGGGAATCGAACTCATGCGGAAGCGGCTTTAGATTCTCAGTGTTGTGCTTTAACCCGCTGCGCCACCAGGGAGGGCCCACAAAATCTTTTTTTTTTTAAAAAAAAGTGATAGAAAAGAAATTGGACACTCTGGAGATGAGCAATGTGCCAGGACGTGAAGGTTTGAGCTAGGAAAGCCAGCCAGAGCTGGCCTCAGGATGTGGGGTCTGCTTTGTCCAGGGGGGGGGGGCGGACAATGGAGAGTGGGCTTGGCCAGTTAGGTTGTCTGTGTGGGGTGAAAAGGGAAGATTTCCAGAGTGGCAAAGGGAAGGGACCCAGATGGGGGCTCTGATTTTCCCAAGGAGCAGAGATGAATTCCCAAGGGTTTCCACCCTACTTCTCCTGACATGCTGGGATGGAAGAGAAGGCCCAGCTCCTTCCCCGCAAGGTCTCCTGCCCCCCACCCCTCCCTGCCCGCAGCCAGAGCTCCCAGGCCCACCTCGTAACTGATACACATGTCTGGGGTCATGATGATCTTGTTGCCTTTGCTGTCCACCTCGGTGCGCCGCAGGAACTCGCGCTTGGAGGCGGTGATGCGGTCCTCGCAGCAGTGATAGCGCAGCTGGATTCGCTCCTCCAGGATCAGGAACACGCGCTCCTCCACGTCCTCATCCGCGTGCTTGGCGAGGTTGCGGGAGAACCGCTCCGTGATCTTCTGCAAGACCCCAGCGAGCAGGAGGGGTGGGAAAGGCGCTTCTGCGCATGCCCGCAGGGCAGGCGCGGGGAGCCAGGGTCCCGCAGCCTGGGGCACTTGGGGTTCCTGCGGAACAGCCCTGCGAGCCCCTCTGTGGCCCCACGGACCCCACTGCCACCCCACGGTTCTCAGTGCCAGGCCACTGCTGCCCCTGGAGGGGTAGTTCTCCTCTAGCTCCCTCCCCAAGACTCTGCTTGCCCACCTCTGGAGATCGGGAGCTCACCACCTGCTCAGACAGTGGATCCGCTCCCCAGACAGCCCTTCCTAGAAATAACTTTGGTTTCAGCGGGCAAACACAGTTGCTGATATCAGACAATTTGTAAAGGCATGCAGCAAAAAAAAAAAAAGCACAATTTAATGTGTAGTGGGATGATTTAGGGTTGCTACACACACACACACACACTCACACTCATACACCACACACCCCTGGATTAAATTAGGACCGACTCTCAACACCACACCTGTTAAAGCTCAAGATAGCTAAGAGATGCCTCTCTGAGATACCATTACTTTTCTACTGACATTGACCTGCATTTTCTCAATGTTCAGTCACCGTGTGTATTTTCATACTGGTAAGGAAATAACACCTCCTTGGCCCAGCGGCTGAAGGCACCGTCTGGCTTTGCAACAGCCCGGGACTGCCTGCTTGGTCACACCCCTGGCGCTCAGTCAGAGCTGGGAAAGGCTGACAGGGAAAGGCACTGCTCCAGAGGCGGGTTCTCCCCACCCAGGACTGGCCGGAGCTGGCCACAGCGGACAGGGCCCTCCCCAGGCCCAGCGCTCACCACCACAGGCCGGGGGTTTGATTCTGAACTGTTCTGAACCACCTTCTTGACCCTGGGCCTGAAATTGACGTGGCGGTAGCAGAGGAAGTCGGGGCGCCCCTGGTAGTACTCGGTCATCGTCAGGGGCGTCTCCTCCCTCTTGACCAGGCCGTCCACCCGGGCCGATTCATAAAACTCCATGATGCGGTCCATCTCCGGTTGCATGGACTTGTACGAGTGCACTGTGGTGGGAGCCGGGGGGAGACAGCCGGTGAGCCCCGGGCTCTGGCCACTGCGGCGATAGCCCCCCCTCAGGCCCCGGGGAGAAGGTGTCCCCAGCCGTGGCGTGAACACAGTCACCTTCCAGAAGGCAGGGGGTGCCCGGCACTGGTTGGCACCAGGTACTCACAGCCGGGAGGTCATTTTTCTCTCCATTGCCCAGAGGAGGGCGGAAAGATGGCCCCTAACACTGGCTGGCTTTACTCAGCTCCCCGGCCCCCTGGAAGCATGCCCCCACTGTGTCCCGGAGCCCAGCCATGCAAGGGACACTTGGCCTCGCTCTGACTTTTCTGGAGGGACGCGCGAAGCCCCGCTCCAGCTCCTAGGTGGCCCAGAAGTGGCGTCCACGCACCTCGCAGAGCCTGGGGGTGGCCCGGCTTGAAGTAGTCGACGTTTAGGCCCGTGGTCTTGTGTATGTGCTTCAGCTCCAGCTTGTCCTCCCGGTTCTGGTACCATTCCTTGATCTCCAGAATATTGGTACCTGTGGGGCCCAATGCGTGCTGGCGGCCAGGCCGGCCCCGGCCTCCTCCACACACACACTCACGCCGGGGAGGAGCAGCGACTCACCAAGGTCACCCAGCATGTCGGGGATCCAGGTCTCAGCGCCCCCGGCCCCCTGCCACCCGCCCCCGGCCTCCTTACACGCTAGGTCCTCGTAGATGGTGAGGCGGCACACCAGGCCGTTGCTGTTGAGGTATGGACACCATTTCTCCAGCCTTGCCTTCTTGTACTGGATCACCTTTTTCCCATTTGGGCATCGGGTCTCGAATGCTGTGGACACAGTGAGCTGGGGTTCTCCCCTCCAAATCGGGGGAGGGGCCGCCTGCCAGGCTGTCCTCTGGTCACTGTCCCTCAGCTGTCTGCTGAGCCCCTGCAGGCCCCACGCCCATGCGGGGTCAGGGCAAACTCTGCCCCTGGAGGGGTTCTCAGGCCAGGCAGGCGCACGGCCCCTCTAAGAATGGGGTTTGAGCCCAGAGTGTGCCCGCCTCCCCACGCTGTCTCGCTGCCAGGCCTTTGCCTGTGCAGGTCTCTCTCTGCGGAAGCACCACTCCCTCCTGCCTCACTGGGCTGACCTCCTCTGACCCCTCAAAACTTAGCTGATCACCCCCCTATAGACCCCCAGGCCTCACCCCCATCATCGGTTATGGTCCTGGCAGCAGGGTCCTTGATCCCCTGCCCTCCAGCACCCCCTGAGTGTTAAGCGCCCCCTCCTATATGCTAAACAGACCTCCAGTCACAAAGCTGGGGTGGCGGGAGGGACTGGGAGTGGGAAGGGGAAACCAGGTGCAGCAGAAGGCAGCAGGGGTGAAAGGAGGGACCGGGGGCTCAGCGTGTTTCCTAAGTGCCCCCCACCACGCTGTTGCTGCAGATTGCTCCAAAGACCCAGGACCCGATCCTGGGGAGCAAACCCAGGCCTGCTCATACCTTCTGGGGAGATCTCAATCTGCTCCACCCATGAGGGCGGCATGTCGAAGCTCTTGTCCTCATCCTCCTTGCCCTGTGGGGAGAGGCTGGTTCTGGTCAGGGCTGGGTCTTGGAGCAGAGGTTATGGTTAGAGCCTCTGTGTCCACCCCCATCCCACCCCCAGCCAAGCCAGGCTGTGTGCATCCCCAGGGGAGCCAGAGGTCACCGGCATGTCAGAACGGACCCAAATGGGGTTGAAGGAGGGGCGTCAGCTTGGCCAGGAGCCCCCCGTACCCGCCTGGCTCACAGCAACACCCTGGTCCTGTGTGCGCTGTCCTCCCCAGTCTGCACCAGGCACATCCCTAGGCTCTTGGCAAAGAGCCCCCTCCATCAACCAGCTAAGGGGTCCTGGAGGAGGCCCTTAACTAATCCAGCCTCTTTCCTAACCAGATGCTGACGGAAGGGTAACTGATATAAAGTACTTAGGCTGCTTCCTGGCTGCTGTTGCTGCTTTTCGAAACTTAATTTTCCCATCTAAGAAGTAAGGCAGGATTTAGACACACGATCCTCATGCCTGGTAACCACAGGAACTTGGAGAAGATTTTCTCAATTTAAAACTTTGCTCTGGCAAATGCTCCCTGCTCATCTAACTAAGGCCAGCAGGGGGCGCCTGTGCCCCAGAAGTCACTGCACGGGGTGGGCTCAGGGTTCCAGGGACAGGCCAGCAGGGGGCGCCTGTGCCCCAGGAGTGAATGCACCGGGTGGGCTCAGGTCTCCAGGGACTGGGAGGATGCTCAAGAACCCCCTGTATTCCAGGCTCGCCTACACCCCTGTGCCAGGCACGCCACAACTCAAGCAGTCTCGGGCGGGAAAACAGAGTTGCCACTGCCAACCTGAACTCCGGAACCAGAGTATCAGATCCCAGGTTTGAATCTCAGCTCTGTCAATATTGGGCCTTCAAACTTTGGGGAAGTTATTGAATCTCAGCTCTCTGTATAGAATACTCTTCCTATCTGTAAAATGGGATAATAACCGTGGGTGGTAATGTTACTGCCCACCTCCCTGGGTGGTTATGGTGATGCAGACACGTTAATTCCGGTGAAGGACCTCCTGGCCCATAGTAAAGGCCAGGGTAACCATATTGTCCCAGACTGAATGGTGTCACCCCTCAGCCTCCAGGTCATATGTTCTAACCCCCAGTACTTCACACTGTGACTCTGGCTCTTTAAAGAAGCAATTAAGTCAAAATGCAGTTGTCTGGATCCCCATCTGACGCGACTGGTGGCCTCACAGAGAGGTAAGACGTGTGAAGACCCAGGGAAGGAGAGGCCCCACGAGAAAGCTACCCAGCTGGCCTTGACCTCAAAGGTCTGACCTCCAAGCTGTGTGAAAATACATTTCTGCAGTCTGAACCCCCAGTCTGGACGCTTTGTACGGTCACCCGAGCAGATGGACATAAGTGTTATTATTACTGTTCAAGGAAACAGAAGCTTGTGGCATTAGGATGTGTCACAGCCCTCAGCCCCCAATTCAGTGTCACAGCCAAACCCGAGGCCTCGGGGGATCTAACTTCTGCACAGGGCCTCAGCAGGCCTGGAAGGCCCCTGACCAGAGGCCAGAGAAGGGAAGCTGACATCATGGGGAAGGCCCAGGTCAGTGACCAGTAGAAGGGCTGAAGGGACAGCCTGGAAGTGAGGACTGGCCGGCCCAGGGGGTTCTGGGCTGTGGAGAAGGTTTTATCACCCGAGTCCAAGAGGTATGCTTTCTACAGATAACCCCTGAATGGGGTGGGCCATGAAGGGGGCAGGGGACCTGAATTCGAGTCTCAGCCCTCCTCTCCCCCATTGGGGGGCCCCAGTCAGGCCATCAGACTCTCTGGGCTTTAGTGTGCCCAACTGTAAAATGTGGGCCTGGTCCAGGCCTTGTGCTTTAAGGGGTGTGTGGTTGGCCTAGGTGGACTGCACCCCCCCCCATCCATGCGCGTGGTGGGGACATGTGTCAGGCTGGACTGAAGCAAGAGGAGACGTGGGCTGCTGCCACATCTGCCCCCATTCCCTGGCCCCACAGGCCACTGACACTCACCGAGCTCTCCATGTCGTCGTCTTCTTCATTCGTCACTTCGTCGTCTTCGTCAGATGTGGCCAGGTATGGCTTATCAGTCCCCAAGAGCAGGTATTCCCACTTCACAGGGTCTCCCAGGTCAAAGATCATGTCCTGGCAGGGAAGGGGAGCAGCTGAGGCCACCCAGAGCCACCATGTCCCTTCTTGATCTGGCAGCTGCACCCCAGAGGGACAAGATGTCAGCCCTTCGGCCCCAGGCGCATCTCTGAGGATTCTGGTCTACCCTCCTCATTTCCACAGGGAACAGAGGCCCAGGGAGGGGCAGAATCCCTCCCTCACTGTCTGAACTTCCTGCGAAGAAACCCCATTGGCCTGGAGTGGACCAGACTAGGGGCAGGGGAGAGACAAGAAGATCTCTCTTTGTGCCCTCACTTGGTGACACAGTACTGCATCCCAGCCATGTCCAGAGGTGGGGGGAGGGGAGTGGACAGGACCTGGAAGAAGAATTGACAGGACTGTGACAACCTCAGAGGGGCCATTATCCTTTAGCAGAGACGGATCCCCAAAGGGACGACAGGGTTGGG